AGGATCCACACAGGGGAGAAGCCCTACCAATGCTTGGTGTGCGGGAAAAGCTTCTCTCAGACAGCTTATCTAAAGTCACACCAAAGAATCCACACCGGACAAAGGCCGTACCATTGCTCAGAGTGCGGGAAAAGTTTCAGCCAGAGTTCGCACATCAACGCCCATAAAAGAATTCACACTGGGATGAAGCCCTATCATTGCTCGGAGTGCGGGAAAAGTTTCAGCCAGAGCTCCTACTTCAAAGCCCATCAAAGGATCCATACCGGGGAGAAGCCCTTCGAGTGTGCGGAATGCGGGAAGAGCTTTGGCCAGAGCACCCACCTTAAAAGGCACCAGAAAATCCACACAGGCGACAAGCCGCATCACTGTTCCGTTTGTGGGAATCAGTTCAGCCGGAGGTCAGCCCTGGAGTCGCATCAAAGAATCCACACGGGTGAGAAGCCCTATAAATGCGCCGAGTGCGGGAAAAGTTTCAGCCGTGGCACCGACCTTAAGTCGCACGAAAGGATCCACACAGGGGAGAAGCCTTATAAGTGCTTAGACTGCGGGAAAAGCTTCAGTCACAGTTCCCATTTTAATATACACCAGAGAATCCATACAGGAGAGGAGCCGTATAAATGCGCCGAGTGTGGGAGGTGCTTTGGTCGGAGTTCCCACCTTAAAAGACACCAACAGATTCACACTGGAGAGAAGCCCCATGAATGTCCCACCTGTGGAAAGCATTTCACCCACCGGTCCGACCTTCAGCTGCACCAAAGAACCCATACAGGCGAGAAGCCTTATACGTGCTCAGTGTGTGGGAAGAGCTTCAGCCAGAGTACCCTTCTGAAGAGACACGAGAGAACCCACACGGGGGACAAGCCGCACAAGTGCCCCGAATGTGGGAAGGGTTTCGGCGACAACAGAATCCTTAAGGTGCATCTAAGAATACACACAGGAGAGAAGCCCTACAAATGTTCTGAGTGCGGAAGGTGTTTCACTCAGAGTGCACCCCTCAAGAGGCATCAGAGGATCCACACGGGGGAGAAACCCTACAAATGTGCCGAGTGCGGGAAGTGTTTTAGTCACAGCACGCCCCTGAAAAGACATCAAAAAATTCATTTTAGGGATGAGTGGAATGTGGGGAGACCGTCTATTAGCACAGATTTCTTCATTTTAGAAGATCCAATCCTGGGAGAGACTCTGTGAAAATTTTACTTCATTCATAAGTCAACCTTAAGAATCTTTAGAGACGTCACAAACAGGACTGATCAGTTATTATGGAAGAGCACACGGACATGCGGCTTTAACCTGTTGTTATGTTCATGTTTTTTTTGGTCGTTGAACTCATTCCAGAGAGCACATTTTTAATCTCCTATTTTGGTGCGATTTTTGCAGTGGCTTTCAGTTAACGTGATCTTGGCCACTTTGCTGTCAATCAGTGTATAAAGCTATTCATGAGAAAACAGGAGGATGGAGCGTTTCCTTCATCTCTCATTGTATTAGAACCCAACGTGCCCGTAGACGGAAGCTGAATTATGAGGAGTCCTTTGCAGTTAAAAGGAAGAGATGTTGTGGAATCCACTGCCTTCCTTTCTTTCTTCGTATATGAGCATTGAACAATTTAAAATCATAGAAATGCAATACAAATAATATTCAAAATATTAAGAAATATTTAAAAAGCTAAAACGATAAGACTATTTTGACCAGAAGTTGGCTACTCATCTTTTTTCCACACGGGGGCCTAACTTGCATACCCATAAGTAGTGTGTAGATTGAATTCCTGTACAGTCAGAGAGTCCCCTGGACTGCAAGGAGATCAAACCTATCCATTCTGAAAGAAATCAGCCCTGAGTACTCACTGGGAGGACAGATCCTGAAGCTGAGGCTCCAAGACTTTGGCCATCTCATGAGAAGAGAAGACTCCCTGGAAAAGACCTTGATGTTGGGAAAGTGTGAAGGCAAGAGGAGAAGAGGACGACAGAGGACGAGATGGATGGACAGGGTCATCGAAGCGACCAACATGAATTTGACCGAACTCTGGGAGGCAGTGGAAGACAGGAGGGCCTGGCATGCTCTGGTCCACAGGATCATGAAGAGTCAGACACAACTAAACAACAACAGTCACAGAAAAATTGTCATATATCCACAATTAGCCCTGTTTTACCTAATTAGTCTTTGAGCTTCCTACTTCACTTGGAAGTCTATTTAAGTGATTTCCGGATGGTGCATCTAGACTTGGTGGAAGAGACCCTCTGGCATTTATCCACTTAGCAAGCTTTTTCTCTCCGTAGGTTTAGCCTAGCCTATTCTGGTTTAGTATTTAGAGCTTGAGAGGTGTGTAGAAAACTTTTCATCTGTTTCTACAAGACATAGAGATGAAGACACGCTGGACGAATTTATGGGGGCTTTTCATGAACTGCCAGCCTTGGTGAAGATGGAGGGTCAGGACAATGTAGTTGGTTAGGCTAAAACTCAAAAGACTTGGGTTCCAATCCATGCTATGTATCATGGATGGGCTTTGGAAGTTCACTGGGGTAATGGCATGTACAAAACTGCTCCTCAAATATCTCACATACCTTGAAACCCTGCTAGGGTTGCTATAAATCATAATTCACTGAACATCACAACAGCACACAACACAGTGAAGATGCTGTTTTATCTCTATTAGAGGCAGTATCTTGGTGTTGCACTCTTGTCCATTATATGAACAGAATGCTGGATTTTGTATATTGTTCATTAAGTGTTTGTATAGACTTGAGTCTTATACTGCATCTTCAGGGGAAGACCTTTTTAGTCACATCAACAGTGTCATGTAGATATGGAAGAGAATAGATGTTCCCAGGCTTTGGAACTCCCTACCATTTTGAGGACAGTATGTTTGCAGCTACAGTATTTATACCAAGTTTGTATATAAGCAGTTTTGCATGATTTTTGGGAATAGCATAGTTTCTTGAGAATGGAGTTGAGATGTCGTCGTCATCATCGTAGAACTGCAGATCTGGAGGGGACCCTATGGGTCATCGAGTCCAGCCCTTGTCAACAAGGTCACAGTGGGGAATCTAACTCCCAACCTCTAGTTCTGCAGCCCGATGCCTAAACCACTCATTTATCCAGCAGCTCTACACGGTTGTCTAAAGAGGGGATCAAAAAGAGGAGAGAGCTGAAGGAAATTAGACGTCTGTTTGAGACTAGTGTTTTGGAGTAAAGTTTATGAAGAAAAGCCTGTATAGGTAGGGGAGTCTGTGTCTCTCTCTGTGTGTAGGGACAACTGAGGAGTTTTCACCCATATCAGCTAAACTCCAAAACTTACTTTTCCCTTCTTACATATAGTTCCTAAATAAAAAATTCTGTTTGATGGATTGAACAATCTCTTTTCATTATTTGTTGTATACAGAACTAAGAGGAGTGAACCCAGACTACAGTGGCCCCTCGACTTACGGAATTGATCTGTATTGGAATGGTGGCCGCAGGTCGAAAATTCCATAGGTCAAGGGTCCATTTCCCATAGGAATGCATTGAAAACCCCATAATCTGTAGCTGGCATGATTGGCGGGGGGGACTCCGAGAGGTTTCCCATGGTGGCAGAGAATCCCTGGAAGGCATCTGGAGGTCCCCCTCCAGAGCTTTCCCAGGAGTAGACTTCAGCCCCACAGTTGAGGCGGGTTTTTCCCCTACCTGAGTTGTAAAGGGAGAAAGGGGATGCCTTCAGGGGCCCAAATGAGGGAGGCTGCCAAATCAGGAGGCGGCGAGCAAAGACGAGCTCTTGATCAGGCAGGGAGATCCACTCACCTCCTCATAGCATTGCAGACAAAGGCAAAGTGGGGAGGGGGAGAGCCATGCAGGATCCCCAGGCACAGCTGGAGGAGGAGGAAGAGAAGCAGGGACTTCCCATCCATCGGCTTCACTGCAGCAATGGTCACCTTGCCTTGTTCTGGTGGCAGCCGCTGACGGCGGAGAAGCAACCCCCCGCCACCACTGGGGTCCTGTGTTCAGATCATGATGCTGCTCCCCATATGGCACCCTGTTGCCCTTCCAGCGGTGTCTCGCCTCTCCACCACCACCGCGGCAGCTGCAACCTTGAGGAGCCAAGGGAGGAGGAGATGAAGCTGCCGCTGCACCGGTCAAAAAGTTGGCAGCAAGCGGTATGAGGTGAGCGCAAAGTTCCAAAGAGGCAACCAGGTAAGGCAAGGCTCCAGCGAGGAAGAGGGAGGGGGACCTCCAGATGCCTTCCAGGGCTTTTCCACTGCCATGGGAGGCATCTCAGAGGTCCCCCCGCTGCCGCCAATCATGCCTCCGAAGCATGATTGGTGGTGGCGGGGACCCCCGAGATGACTCCCATGGTGGCAGAGAACCCCTGGAAGGCACCCGGAGGCACGATCAGCACTTTGAATTTGAATGTGCATTTGAATTTGGCACTTAACCCACCTCCCCCTTCAGGTCCGTAGGTCTATTCTCCAGCCGCAAGCCGAAGATAAATTTTGCAGCTGGAGAAGCCCGTAGCTAAAAAATTTCATAAGTGGAGTCCTGCCTAAGTCGAGGGTCCACTGTACTAACAAACAATAATAACCCAACAGGCCAGCATGCATATGTGTGGTATGGAAAGTTCAAAGAACAGACGCATTTCTTAGAACATACTGTGAGGAAAGTGTTATGTCTACTATGGCAGAAATATTTCAAATGCAAACTTATAAGAAAATTCCAATATGGCTAGCCCCAATAGAGGCTTCCACATTGAAAGTGTTAAGCCATGAGGGAGTTTTACTCAGGTATAAAGTTTCGTTAACTAAAGATCAAACTATGGAAGATCTAGAGAAACAGGGTCTAGCCATCAATGTTGAAACTAAAATCAAGATATGTAAAGGTAAAGGTTCCCCTTGACAATTTTTGTCCACTCGTGTTCAACTCTACGGGGTGGTGCTCATCCCCGTTTCCAAGCCATAGAGCCAGCGTTTTGTCCGAAGACAATCTTCCGTGGTCACATGGCCAGTGCGACTTAGACACCGAGGTGGTCCCTATTTATCTACTTGCATTTGCATGCTTTCGAACCGCTAGGTTGGCAGGAGCTGGGACAAGCGACGGGAGCTCACTCCATCATGTGGATTCGATCTTACGACTGCTTGGTCTTCTGACCCTGCAGCACAGGCTTCTGTGGTTTAGCCCACAGCGCCACCACATCCCTGGTGAAAAGGACAAAAGATATGGGCTTTTTTGAGGGAGATGTTCAGGTGGATGAATTATGGATTTATACGAAAGAGAAAATCAAAAAAGTACACATATGTATTAGAGTATGATCTAGAGCAGTGGTTCCCAAGCTTTTTGAAACCGCAGACTGCTTGGGGGAGTGGGGTCTTTACCTGGGGTGGGGGCACCACATGTGCGCAGATGGGCGTGGCACACTTGTGGGTGAGTGGGGCATGGCACCCACCATGTGTGCGTGCGGGTGGGTGGGAGATCTGTCTCGGCAGCCCAGTCCTGTGAAGCCCACAGACCGGCACGGGGCCGCCAACTGGGGGTTGGGGACCCCTGATCTAGAGGATGAGAGCGTGAAGGAGGCGATGGTAAAATGGGCACAGGGCATGGCACCCACCATGTGTGCGTGCGGGTGGGTGGGAGATCTGTCTCGGCAGCCCAGTCCTGTGAAGCCCACAGACCGGCACGGGGCCGCCAACTGGGGGTTGGGGACCCCTGATCTAGAGGATGAGAGCGTGAAGGAGGCGATGGTAAAATGGGCACAAAACTTTGGCTACAATATTGTAGAAAAATGTGGAAAGATAACTACAAAATGATTAAACCAGTTAATCTTAGAGAAAACATCCTTAAAATGTTTCATAGATGGCATTTTACTCCTGTAAGATTGGCAAAAATGTCAGAAGGGATTGGTAATGTTTGTTTGAAATGTAAAAAAAAAAAATACGGGGACTGATCATGTGGTCATGTGAGAAAGCAAAAAAGCTTTGGTTACAGGTCTGGGAAATGTTACAAGAAATTGTTCAGCAAAAATTAAGTTTTAAACCTGAAATGTTATTATTGAATATAATGCCAGAAATTATTGATAAAATAAAATATAGTGTACAGTGGTGGCTTGCAAGACAATTACCTCGCAGGGTGATTAATCCGCAAGACGATTAGTTTTTGCGATGGTGATATCAGGGTCCTGGAGATCCTAAGGGATTAGCATTTGCCGGTAGAGCATGGGCCTTGTGCGTAATGGAAATTGCAACCTCCCTCCTCAATAGCATTTCCATTTTTAAAAAAATAAAGACCAGGTAGCAAGTGGTGTGGGGTTAAAATGCTTCACTGCAGTCCAGACTGTAGGGTGCTTTGAAAGTGTTTTGGTATTGCTTATATGCTCACTGTTATTAGCCTTTCTATTGTCTTTTATCATCATCATCATCTTGGAACTGCAGAGGACTCTATGGATCAACGAGTCCAGCCCCTTTCAAAGAGGCTTAGTGGGAGAATCGAACTCCTAGCCTCTGGCTCTGCAGCCAGAGACCTTAACCACAGAGCTATCCAGCTGTTCCTGCAATTGTCATCTCTCCGCCTCCCCAACATGGATTCAACTTCCCATATGTAGTTTCTGGCACCAATTCTGACTGTTTTCACTATCTTAGCCATATAAACTGCCTTCGGTCCTTTAGAAAAAGGCAGGATTAAAAATAGGACTAAAACAAGACTCTGCTCACAGCCTGAGTTTAATCCCAACAGGATCAGGTCTCCAGCTCAAGGTTCACTCAGCCTTCCATCCTAAGGTTAGTAAATTGAGTACCCAGTCGCTGGGAGAAAAGAAACAGCTTGTCATTGCCACCCACCGTGGACTAGTTGAAGAAGGATGCTAAGCAGGGATAAGGGGGCTTGGCT